TGAACCGCCTCCAGACTGATAATGCTTTGGCCTTCCGTAAAGATCAGAGGTCACTTTACTTCAAAGACATTGATGGCTGGATGCCAATTCAGGTGCCCATTATTGTTGTAATCTAAACATAAACAGATGGCATAATACTTGTCCAGAACTTTTATTTTTATCAACTTTTTTTGTGTTAAAATGATATGTGTTAGGAAAAGCATATTTTAGGTTGTATGTGGGTCAATATCACCATAGAGTGCCTTTCAACCCTCCCAATGCTCAAAAATGTGGTTTTAATTTCCCATTCGCTTTGTCGTATCATAAATAGTAGACACTCAAGTACTAAAGAAATATATTAGCTGAGCTCCCACACATTTTTTAGATAATTATGGGCCATTATTCAAAGCATAAACCCTGTCAAGGACATATATATTACTGTTAAATACGTTTTCATTGCAAAATTAACTATGTCCCTGTCATGATTATGTCTACTCTATCGAGTCTAAGTGGCCGACAGGATGGACATTTTGAACTTCAATTAGCATATTAGCTTACAACAAACTGTGACTAGCTAAATATTTAGTCTGGTTGTTGAAGAGAATTTGGTATATTTAAACGTACATATTTTGAAAATACTGTATTCTAATCACTTCTGGCATATTTTATGCCGTCAGGGTGGACATGTTAAGCTTTGGCAAAGCAAGTAAGCAAACCCACGAAGAAAATTTGTCAAATGAAAAGTCACCAACTTGCTCACCATAAATGCATATGGATTTTTTATCATAGAAGACACTACAGGCAAAATCATTGTTTTTTCCCACACTGGTCAATTTTGGCTATTTTGCTTCCATAGCTTGTCTTCTTTCAGACTAGTGAAAAAAAAAAACATCCAAAATACACATTTAAGTTTTTTTTTTTGTTGTTTTTTTATCACACTTTATCTATTTATGTCTGTAGATATATTTTACAATTCATACCATTAAAGGACGTTTTCTCAAAATTAGTTGTTTTTTTCTCTCTCTTGCATGGAGCCAGAAATCCACTTCAGTATCACTTACATACACCAAGCTTTACAGTTTTATTCCTATATATATTCTGAAGTTTTTTGCAGAGAGGTTTGTTCATATATCATTATTTGAAAATTGAAGATTTGTTAAAAATGTTTTTTTTTTCTGCCTGTTGACATTATTTTCTGATTTATATAGTGATATCCAAAATCCCCTTTGTAGTATATACAAAAATCTGAACATTGGATATATATATATATATATATATATATACACTGAATGTCTTAGATCTTTGAGTTCAGCTCATGAGAAATGGGGGCAAAAATAAAAGTGTTGCGTTTATAATTTTGTTCAGTGTATATCCAATGTTCAGATTTTTGTTTTGTAAATGTATGCAAATGAGTACATACTTAATTAGATAATGCCTCATTTACCCATTTTATTTCAGAAAACGTAATAAAAAAGTTGTCTTAATGTACTTTAATTAATCAAAAGGAGGAAGTATGGTGATATCTAACAGTTAATAATAGTTTTAATAATATTATATAATATACATATTTATAGTAATTATACAAATTATAATAGTTTTACCCTATTCACCTGTAGTGTATTGCTTTAATATATTTTAATTATTTGTAATTTATGATTGATTTTATATTTTTTAATTTCATAAGTTTGAATAGCCAAGTGATGTGACAAATTACTTTTTTAAATTGCAAATATTTAATGTAGTTTGTCAAATGATGTCATAAAACTCTATGTATAGTAGGCTAATTATAAATGCAAAAATAAAATATAATATGAATTGTAGCATGTTAATAAGTCAACTTCCTAAAATAATTTCATCTCAGTCTGTTTTTGAAATGCATCTTATTTCTTAATAGTTTTACACAGTGATTTTAGTCTCCAAGGTCTGTAAAAGACTCTCTGATTGCAGTTAACACCATTCCAGTCGATGGAGCGTGATCCTGACCAGAAGGGTTTCTGCGGAGACAGCATCGTGCAAGTTGAGAACGGAGAGGAGTGTGATGACGGAAATAAGGTGGTCACAGATGGCTGTGTCAGTAAGTATCAGGTTGAAACCGAGGCACTCCAGCTGACAGCTTATTCCCAGCAACATGCTGTAATGCAGTTTAACGTGAGTGCATTCTAAAATGGGAATAATCCGGTCCTGTATGGCAAATGAAGCCGAGAATAACACCTTCATTCAGAAGTCACCCCAACATATGTGCTCATAATTCATTACACGGTGCTCTGGAATACTCCATTCTGATTGGTCGATCACTGCATTCTGCGGTCAAATATTTTTGTACAATGACCTCTAAACTGTAGAGCTGGCTTTTGTCCCAGGCATTCTATGGCCTTGTGTCGCACCGTGCTCTCTTTCTTCTCATTTAATGATTTAACACTCAAATCTATATTTATGTAAGGAATAATTGAAGACAGGCAGTTGAATTATTAGGAAAATAATGCATACCCAAATTGGTAATGCAGCCACAGCGTGAAGCAGAGTATTTTTGTGTTTGTTCATTTATTTAATTTATTTTGTGTGCCATGTAATAAGCTGAATAATGTGCTGGCATGCATCAAGAGTTTATTTTGCCAGACTGTACATTAACAGACTGTACATTATCTCTCACTGTAAAAAGAAAAAAAAAATGTAACAGTAAAAACCTGTTAACTGATTAACAGTAAGTTCCCTTATTCTATACTGTGAGAAACTAAATAAATAAATAAACAAATAAATAAATCTAATTTTACAGTAATATACTGTTAAATGTAAAGTTTTTGGAAGTGAAAAAGAATAAGTTGTCTTGTAATTTGTAGTGAAAAACAATAAATTGACATTCCCAGTGCGACAACTCACATTTGATGGTTTCTTCATTTAAATAACTGTTTCTCTATCGAACAGTCTCTTCCATTGCGTTGCTAGGCACATGGAGAAACTCCTGTTTACTCTAAATACTGAAGCCTGATTTGTTCACATTCGTGTAGGAGCACGAACAAGTTGTCACCGATGACTCTTAAGTCGCTGACAGCTTCAGATGCAGAAGATTGGGTGTGTTCCGGTAAGGACCCTGGCACCCTCACTTTGAAACAACCAACACAGCCCAGCATGGACAGTGAGCAGTTCCGCATCTTCTCAAAGGCTGTGGAAGACCTTGCCTTGAACTGGTTGGCTCCTGAAGAGCCCTCCCGCAGCTGCTTAGATGAGTGGTACCTGCAAGGATGGTGTCTGGTGAATAACTAACAGGAGCTGAGCCGCCTCCAGACTGATAATGCTTTGGCCTTCCATAAAGATCAGAGGTCGCTTTACTTCAAAGACATTGAAGTCTCAGGCTGGCTCAGTGCTTCACATGATGGTGGTACTCCAAGTTTTTCAGGCAGAACCAGAGTTCTGATGCCTTCAGGGAGCTGTGCACAGCAAATTAACAACTGGCAATTGGCAAGGCCATGGTAAACCTGGTGGTGCTGGAGCGCCACCTTTGGCTCAACATAACTAAGATTTGAGAGGGCACCATGTCCTGGTCTGCTTGGACAGCTTGACAGTGGTAGCCTTTATAAATCACCAAGGCGGTGTCAGGTCACACTACCTTTAAAGGATGGCGAGACACCTCCTTCTATGGACACAGTATAATCTGCTCTCACTGAGGGCAGTCCACATGTTGGGCAGACTGAACCAGGGTGCGGACATGCTGCCCCGGGACAATGTAGCTCCAGCAGAATAGAGACTACATCCCCAAATGGTTCAAAGGTCTGTCTTCAGGAGGGCAGAGGTGAACCTCTTTACCTCAGAAGACAACTCTCACTGGCCAATATATTTCTCGAAGGAGCGGGATGCTCTGGCCCACAAATGGCCCAGCGCTCGCCTGTATGCCTTCCCTTCGATTGTCCTACTCCCTCAGATTATCAGACTGTTCAGGGAAGTCGGGTGTTCGGTCCTCTTGGTGGCCCCACTCAGGAGTAATCAGACGTGGTTCTCCCAAGTTGATTCAGCTGCTATCAGCATCCCCTTGGCCAATTCCATTGAGGAAGGGCCTCCTCTCTCAAGCAAAAGGCATAATCTGGCATCCCCGGCTCTAGCTGTGGAGCCTTTATGTTTGGCCCCTCAACATGAGTCTTTACAGCTCACAGTGAGTGTGGCTAATTCCATTTTGTAGGCTAGAGCCCCATCTACAAGACATCTCTACACCCTTAAGTTGTCAGTCTTTTCTAAATGGTGTGCAGCACAGAACGAGGACCCATCCTCTTGTAACATGTCATCCATGTTAACCTTTCTGCAAGAGCTGCTGGACAAAGGGCACTCCTTCCATGCTCAAAGTGTATGTAGCACCCTTCGCAGCGAATCACGCGCTCGTGGCTGGCCAGTCAGTCAGAATAAGTTTTTGAAAGGAGCTTGAAGACTAACCCCCCTCATCCTCATACTGTGCCGACAAGGGACTTATCCATAGTCCTTAGGGCCCTACGAGGGTCTTCCTTTGAGCCGCTCCAGTCAGCCGACTTAAGGCCTCTGTCACTTAAGACTGCCCTACTTCTGGCATTAGCGTCGGTCAAGCGAGTGGGTGACTTACACTGTCAGTCAGTGCTTCATGGCTTGATTTTGGGCCTAACGACTGTAGTCATCCTCAAACCAAGACACTGCTATGTGCCTAAGATGCTCTCCACTCCGTTCAGAGCACAAGTTATCACCCTTCTGGCTCTTCCTAACACTTCCTTTACTCTGCCCGGTTTGGGCTCTTAGAGTTTAAATAGAGTGCTCTAGCCACTTCTGGCATTCAGAGCAGCTCTTTGTTTGCTTCGGAGGCCACTCTAAAGGGCTGCTTGTCACGAAGCAGAGACTATCTTACTGGATATTTGAAGCTATAGCCCTAGCTTACGCCTCAGTGGATTTGCAGTGTCCTATTGTAGTAAGGGCCCATTCTACCAGAGGAATGTCCTCCTCCTGGGCTTGGTCCAGCAGAGTGATACAGTGAATTGGTGATAAAGTGAGGAAAATATTTATTTGATCCCCTTCTGATTTTGTAAGTTTGCCCACTTACAAAGAAATGAAGGGTCTTTTTTTATGGTAGGTTTATTTTAACATACAGAGACAGACTACCAACCAAAAAATCCAGAAAAAACACATTATATAAAGGTTAGAAATTGATTTGCATTTCAGTGAGTGAAATAAGTATTTGATCCCCAAGCAAAACATGACTTAGTACTTGGTGCAGAAACCCTTGTTGGCAAGCACAGAGGTAAGACGTTTTTTGTAGTTGGTCACCAGGTTTGCACACATCTCAGGAAGGATTTTGATCCACTCCTCTTTACAGATCCTCTCTAAATCCTTAAGGTTTCTTGGCTGTCGTTTGGCAACTCTAAGTTTTACGTATGTATTGCATTTCACAAGAAATACAACATTTCTTGTCAGCAATTAAATGTTACTTTAAGTAAATAAATGATTTGCTGACAATTGCCAAAGACCCATTACTCAAGTTTTAAAGCTGACATTTCTTCACTGTGCTTGGTTCTTTTACTTATTTTGCATGTACAGTGGGGAAAATAATTATTTGATCCCCTGCTGATTTGGTAAATTTGCCCACAGAAAAAAAAGAAGGGTTTATCATTTTTATGGTAAGTTTATTTTAACTGATAGAGACAGAATATCAAACAAGAAATCCATGACGTGGTACTTGGTGCAGAAACCCTTGTTGGCAAGCACAGAGTTCAGATGTTTCTTGTAGATGGTCACCAGGTTTACACACATCTCGGGAAGGATTTTGATCCACTCCTCTTTACAGATCCTCTCTAAATCCTTAAGGTTTCTTGGCTGTCGTTTGGCAACTCTAAGTTTCAGCTCCCTCCACAGATTTTTGAGATTGGCTAGGCCACTCCATGACCTTAATGAGCTTCTTCTTGAGCCACTCCTTTGTTGCCTTGGTGGTATACCTTGCGGGCACTGCAGGATTTTAGTCCATTGCGGCGTAGTGTGTTACCAATGGTTTGCTTGGTGACTGTGGTCCCAACTGCCTTAAGATCATTAACAAGCTCCTCCCTTGTAGTTCGGGGCTGATCCCTCACCTTTCTCATGATCGTCCTTACCCCATGAGGCAAGATCTTGTACGGAGCTCCAGACCAATGCCGAAACAACCAATTGATGGTTGTTTTGTATTTCTTCCATTTCCGAATAATCGCACCAACAGTTGTCTCCTTCTCACCAAGCTTCTTGCTGATGGTCTTGTAGCCCATTCAAGCTTTGTGCAGATCTACAATCTTGTCTCTGACATCCTTTGACAGCTCTTTGGTCTTGCCCATGGTGGTGGGAGAGGTTGGAATGTAAGATACAGATTGTGTGGACAGGTGTCTTATACACCTAACGAGCTGACATTAGGAGAAATTTCTTAAAGTGACAGGACTGATCTGTGTTCCACATGGGCACATAACCAATCTGTGGGAGCCAGAATTCTTGCTGGTTGGTAGGGGATCAAATACTTATTTCACTCACTGAAATGCAAATCAATTTCTAACCTTTATATAATGTGTTTTTTTCTGGATTTTTTGGTTGATATTCTGTCTCTATCCGTTAAAATAAACCTACCATAAAAATGACAGGCCCTTTATTTCTTTGTAAGTGGGCAAACTTACAAAATCAGCAGGGGATCAAAAAAATATAAAAAAATATTTTCCCCACTGTATCTGTGCAGCTGCCGACTGGTCTTCGCCGTTTACCTTCACCAGATTTTATATCTTGGAGGTCCCTGGCCTTCAGGCATGGATTTTGTCCGCTTAGTTTACCTAATCCCCTCTATGAGTGGAGAAGGTCTTGTAACATGGACCCAGCCTGGCTCATGCTTCTTAGGGGCCATCATTTCGGGTTCTCTGGGGCTGGGCTCACAGAGCAGCTTCGTTCTGCACTCATGGTGCCATTGGATGCGTTCCCCATATGTGTAGCAATGCAATGGGAGAGACTGTTCAATAGGGAATCTTCCAGTTACTAACGTAACCTCAGTTCCCTGAGATAATGGAATGAGCGTAACCTGCTGTGCTATAAGGCTACACACGAGTCGATGACTGTCGCTATCAGTCGAAAGATTCTGACAAAATGGCACTAAGAGCCGACTTATATAGCAGCCGGCTCCACTCCTTTTGGCGGGTTGAAGTGCCATTTGTTCGTGCAGCTGCACAAACATGACTTCAGGCTTCAGTATTCAGAGTAAACAGGAGTTTCCAGATATATGTAGCAATACAATGCTCATTCCCTCATCTCAGGGAACCGAGGTAGTAACACCAGGGCATTCTTCTTAGTTTTTTTTTTATTTCTTTTCACTTATGTACATTAGGGTTTTATGTTATATCTTAAGTTGTTTAATTAATGATTATTGCATTATTTTAGTGTTATGTCTGTTTGCCATGTTGGTGTTTTGTATTTGTGTAGACATCTCAAAACTGATTTTAGTAATTTGGTATATTAACATTATCTCAGTTCATAAAATCTATGTTTTTAATTTGAGTCTGTAAAGTCTGTAAAGCTTAAAATGTACATTTGCTACTATATAGCTGCCAGCTTTTTACTGTAAATTTCACCAATCTTTTGCTTCTCCTTTTTTCTTTTTCTCTTTCTCAGAGTGCAAACTTGCATATTGTGGGGATGGATATCGCTATGAAGAGGTAGAGGAGTGTGACGGAAAGGATTTTGGCTTTCACACATGCAGATCCTTTTTGCCTGGGTAAGACTGTTCAAGCCCGTTTAAAATGGATAGGGCGAAGCTAAAATCCCCCTGAAGGAATATGAGCCATTTTTCACATCCCAAAGAGTTTGAATATTATTTATTTTTTTACTGACTATTATACTCTAGAATAATGTTATATTAAAATAATATTTTGAAAGAATTTTGCTTTGATTAAATTAAGTTTGTCCAAATAACATCCCTGTCTTTCTGTCCACAGATCTTATGGACATCTCAAGTGCACAGCTGACTGTTTCATTGACTCAACAAACTGCAAGTATTTCACATGAGGACTAAAGAAAGTAGTGTGTCGTTTCAACTGGCGAGATCCATATAAACGACGACCGTAGATTCAGTGGATAAACTGAGAGTAGAAATCATTGATGGAATTATCACAAACACATTAGCTGAACTTCTCTGTTGACATGATGCTGAGAGGCCATGTAGCTCACTCGGGAAAGGAACGCTTGGCAAAGCCACGTTTGTGCTCGCACTCTTAAGAACTCTAACAGGACTTCAGACTCCATTCTCCATTCATTCAGCCTCTGCTGCCTGCCATTCGGCCCTGGCTCGACATTTGGCCAGCGTGCTTGGCTGCACTAAAAGGAAACAGGTGAGTTGGTTGCCTCTTGGAGATGGGTAAATGACTTCTCAATACCTCAAAGTACTGTAGTACTGTTTCAGAGGAAAGCCGTTTTCTCCTGGTCCACCCCACCTTCCCTCACATAGGGTGCTCTGTATGTGGAATGCAATGTGACGTTGTTACTATAGTATTTTGCATGAGGCTGAGATTGCTGTAGACATGTCAGCAGAGATCATTACCAAGGCATGTAACTGAAAAAACAAAAGTGGCTCATATCTTTAAATGTAATATTATGTAGGCTTAGACCAAACTGGTGCTTGGCCTTGGAAGAAACCTAATAATTTCATTATCTTAAATAACACTGATGTACATTAAGTTTAGTACAGATTTGCATACTGGGTCCAAAATTAACTTGTTGTCATACAGCCCAATAATGGGTAAATTGAAGAAAAAATGGAATTTAAGAGCTCATAAAATGGCACAATTATTAGCCAAATGACTGTTTAATTGACAAACATCGCTTGATGGTTGTTCAGAAGTGCCAGCATACCATATACAGTACCAACATTCATTATCTTCAATATTTTTTGATACTAATCAAACATAACCAAAAAATGATTCACAGCTCAATGAGGGAGTCAAACTCAGTAACATCTCTGAACCATTTATACACTAATTTTAGTGGTTTCTTGCAATTTGCATTGTTGCAGTGACCCAAATGGCCAGTAAAACCATTTACCTAAGAACCAAATTCACATTTTACTTCAGTTTGGTGCATGGCAGGTGTTATTTTTGGACCCTGGGGATAAAAGGTGTGTTTTCACAGACTATTTCATGTAAAAAAAAGGCTGCAATACTACTGACTGACAATATTTAGGATGTTTAAGATTAGAAGGCCCTGCTTTCCAGGCTCTCGGTATGTTTTATGGGGTCACACTTAGTTAACATTTCCATCATATCTCAGGAAACCACTTAAAGATATCCATAACCCATCCACCTCCATGTGTGGAGTAGGGTGCACATATTCCACAGTTTAGCTTAGTTCCGCTCTGTTGTTTTGTGCTTCAAGATCTTGAAGTAAAGCAAACACTGCGTATTTATTGGGTTATGGGTCTGAAGATCTTAAAATAGGGAGGAAAAACCAACCAATCTCATGAGGAAACCTAACTATTTTACAAGGTGGCGATTTGTTTGAATTCAAACAATGTGAAGCTCTGTCCCTAAACCTAACCATCAGTGAGTGGGGTGTAAGCAGATTACAGATGTATTCAATATAGCCATCAATTTGGCAAAATAGTTTGGAATTGCCGTGAGGTTGTGTTGGAAAAACCATTCAGTTGTTATTGAACATTTTGTACTGTCTGCTATTGCAGGGGTAGCATTTTGCTGCTATTCAGGCTAAAGACTGTTGGATTATGGCTGGACTGTTTGTCGTCCCAAAGGCTTTAAACTGATTTATGCCAAAATCCAGTATATAATATGCCAATATACCTCAGCATATACGATGTGCTTTAGCCTTTGTGATTACAGGACCTGAGGTGTAGCATACAGCACTTACTTACTGTTAAATTCAGTGAAATCTTGCTTAAGCATCTTTGAGTTTTTTTGATCAAGCCAGTTTTCCATAAGCTATATGATGCATTTGCTACAGAAAACTGCTTACATTTCTGGGGTGATATTCCTGACTTACCTGTAGATTTCATGTAAAATATTATGGATATATTATCGAAATAAGTGTCTTGAATTTATTATTCTGGTGAAACTGCATGTTTATATTGTATACTCTTGTTCAAAAGAGCAAAATCGCCACATACATTGATGGCTTATGACAGGCAGGCATTTTTGGAGTTAAAGTGCATTAAGCTTGTAACTGACTGTTATCCTCAGAGTTGTACAAATTGAGGAAAGATGTTAACATCAAATATTGCACAACAAACAAATACAAAAGAGACTGAATGTTTTGTCCTAGTGTAATTTAAAAGCTGTTCTCAGTATTAAAACTTGTTTGATACTGTCCTGTAATGACGCTAAAATAAAGCTTGAAAAGCTAACTTTTACAGTATCACTGTTGTTTATATTGGACCCATTCATTTTCTTCTCCTAAACATGAATTTTGTGAGGATTTTGTCTTCATATTCTTTCATCAAAATGTTGTAATAGATTACACAATATTGTCAATACTAGTTGCCCAAAGTTAGAGCCAATCTGTAGATTTTGAGCAGTCAGAGGTGACAGATTTAGCATAAAATGATTGTATGATGGGCACAAGTTGTAATTTTGACCACAAAAAACTCATGCAGAAATATGCACCTTGTTGCTATGAGATGCATGACAAATGTATGATGGCTAGTGTTATAAAGTATTTTCAGATTTGAAAAGTTGTGTAGTGTATACCAGCTTTAAAGGCATTAAGGATAATACACCAACAGAACAAATGTAGTTTTGTTTTTGTACAACAGCTCAATTAATGAAAACTTAATGTTGAGTTAGTCGGTATAATTCATTTGTTGACTTTGTAAATGGTTACAGAGAAAACTGGCATCATACACGAAATGACTGAAGATCACACACTACCATATGTTCCAAACAAATACAAGCCCATGCAGAAACGTGCATTGTTGCTAGAAGACATATGACAAATGAAAACAATGTGTTCTAAAATTGGCTCAAAATATCAAATTTATTTGATATCCTCAGACTGGATGGAATCATAATGTGAAGCTAAAAAACTGCTGAAAAACTGCAGATCGTCTCTGACTTTTGGCAGCGTTGACTCATTCAGGGCAAACATCTGGGCAAATGTTGTGTAATGTATTTGATTCTTTACATTTTTGTCTAATTTTGCTCTGCCAGAAAAATAGTTCCAAATGAAGGCAATTGGTTCACTCATGAAGACAGAAAAGGTCACTTTAAAGCCCATCACCATGCACAAACACAGACCACAGAGCGATTCAAAAAGTGAAAAGTACTGTTAGACTGGATTTTCTGTTCAACAGCGGTGGAATATGAATGTTCCTTTATGTTGACTGAAGTGATCCATACACTTTTTAAAAGTTATTTATGGTTCATGTGATATCAGGGTTGGCATCGCTAACATTTTTGTGTTGGCAAGCCTTCAGAGAACGCCGTACTGCTCTCGTTGCTGTATATTTGATGAGTTTTTCTAGCTCATCAAGGTGTTGTAGCTGACTAAGCTCTGTGCTAGATCACAGCCAGCCGCAGTTACATCAGCATTTCTGTGTTGAGTCTCCAGCTCTGCTGCTCAGAGACTATATATGTGGGCGTGAGGCCTGACAGTGTTTGACAGTGTATTGATCACGGAGGAGACGGAAGGTGACAGAGAAAGATAAAAGGGATGCTGTCGACAGCTTTCCAGGAAAGAAACACTATGTGCTGATGGAAGAATGGACCACAGAACCTGAAAAGTCTTGTGCAATGGCTTTAGACTGGCATTTTTTTTTTATTGTGTGTGTGTGTGTGTGTGTTTGTAAAGGTTGGCAGGAACCCTGAGTTGGGTGCACTGATTTTTGAAGATGGTTGCCGTTCAGTAACCATATTACACAGCCATATCTTTACCCACTAATCACATTATGGTAATTTGCCTGCAGATGAGCTAGGCAATATCTTATATATGCATTGCATAACACAATCTGATTTTGAACTTTGTTGGGAATGTGCCAGTATGAGACATTGAAGAGGGGGTTGCATGGAACTGGGTGTGAGTTAAGACCCCTGTTGCATTTGCAGGGGCTCAAATGGGGTCTTATTTAGCTAAAGTTGCCCAGGACTTTCCATTGGGTCTGGGTGGAAACTTTCTGCTAATCTTATAGTCTGGAGTTTGAAATGTCTGCTGGTGAAATCCTAAACTGTGTCCTAAATCGCTATCTATATAGTGCACTATTTTCAGGGTAGAAACTGATTAAATGTAATCTAGATTATGTAATCAGATTCCAAAAAGAAAGTACTTGTAATTAGATTATATGACATTTTAAAATGCTCATAATCAGATTAATTACCTTGACTGATTATATAGATTACATAAAATGTGTAATCTAACAGACTACACTACAAAATGTATGTAATTTGTAATCAGTAACGGACTACAATTTACAAGTAATCTACCCAACACTGACTATTTGTAGTGGTGTGGAAAACTTTAGTGGACTTTATCGAGTGCACTCATTCGATCCCATAATGCACCTCAACAAGTGTACAACAGATGTACACTCAACAGCTAGCTGCAAAAGAATACTATGAGGGTCGCGCCAAATTAATTCCCACAAAATCTCACAAAAATATGACGTCTTAAGCATTTCCAGCACACTCAGTGTCGAAATGTGCTCGCTTCTTTCACTCATTCTGTGGACTTGTGGAATGAATGAGCAAAGAAATAGTGAATGGGGGCAATTTTGGAAACAGCTCTATAGACTGTGATTAAATTAAATAGGAAAAAAGACAGCTGCCATATTGTAAGTATGATGGTGGATTATACCAATGCAGGTTTAGTGGTGTCACGTTTCGGGTGCCGGTGTAGGACGGAGGACAGGGGGCTTCACAGGCAGGAAACAGAGAGGACCCAGCTGTCACCCGAGGCCCCAGTGAAAATCCCTGACCTACGGAAGGAATGGCAAACATGCAAGGTGCAATAAAATGGCAGAGAATGAACAACATACACAAACACATATACACTAGAAATAAATGGATGGATAATAG